GTAGTCCCATTTGTTTATATTTGCTTCCAGTTGCTTGGTCGGCGGTGATTCATCCTTGAAGATGCCTTTAGCTTCAATGTCACAGAGCATTCTACGTGTTTTCCTCCATGTACCTTATGAATTCAGGTCTGATATTAAGGTATTTAATCCATTCTGATTTGACTTTTATGCATGGCATTAGAAAGAGGTCTGAATTTTTTTTTTTGCATGTAAATGAACAGTTTTCCCAGTACCAGTTATTGAAGAGGTTTTCTTGCTCCATTCCATATTTTTGTGGCTCTTTTATAGAAGATTATCTGGTCATATATCTGAGGTTCTATCTCAGGATATTTAACTATATTCCATTGATCTGAGGGTCTGGCATTATTCCATGTTTTACGTACTACTGCTTTGTAGTATAGTTTGAAGTTGGGGAAAGTGATGCTTCCCAATCTTATTTCTCACAAGGATTGATTTAGCTATTTAGGGGTGTTTATTGTTCCAGATAAAATTCAGGAATGTTTAATCTATTTCTTTTTTTTTGTTTAATCTATTTCTTTGCAAAGTATCCTTATAGGGACTAGATCTAACCTGTACAATGCTTTTGGGGGATTTAAGAAAGAAAATTTGAAAAGATTTAACATGCACATCCTCCTGTCTTGAATTCGCAAATTTTGCTATTTTTTTCCGATCTCTTCCAGTCTTTGCTTATACAAATTTTAATTATAATTAGTTTATACCACATGGTTACAACAGTGTTAAAGTTTAAAGTATTGGTGTACAAAGCTACTGCACCTCACCATCACCCAAGACTTATGACTTGGGTGTATGACCAAGATTTATGACTGTCTACATTAGTTACCTCTGGTCCCATCTTCATTCCCTCTCCTCACTTCCAATGTGTGGTGATCTGTTTTATAATCCAAGACAAAGGGATTGTAATTACTTAATAACGTCTATTTTCTTGTTTGTGTATCCACAATGAGTGAGATTATCAAGTATTTGTCTTTATCTCTGTCTTATTTCTCTTAACATGATACCTTTCAGTTCCTTTCAGTTCCTTTCAGTTTTTGTTTAAAAAAATTTTTTTTAACATATGTTATTCTCACTGGTGTGAAGTATCTCATTGTCATTTAATGCACATTTCCCTAATAAGTACCACGGAACACCTTTTCATATGCCTACTGGCCATCTACTTGTTTCCTTTTGGAAGATATCTGTTCATCTCCTTTTCCCTTTCTTGATGGGATTATTGGGTTTTTGTGCTGTTGAGCTCTGTGAGTGCTTTATATATCTTCAATATTAGTTCTTTAGCTGATGCAATTGATGTATCTCCCACTAAGTAGTGTTACTTTTTTCAGAGTTTCTTTTGCTATGCAGAAACTTTCAAAATTAATATAGTCCCATTTGTTTACTTTAGTCATTATTATTGCCAATGGAGTCAAATCATGAAAGACATCTGATACAGCCTTTTAAATCATGTAGATTTGCAAGAATACATTTAGAGCATCTTATATTTTCAAATTAAGCCATTTTTTTCTCTTTCTGCTGCTATTGCCTAGGGCATGTATGGTGACACACTTGGCTGCAAAGGTCACAGTATGACTTGTGGTATGCCACAGATCTCCCGTTTGTACTGGGGATCACAATGACAGTGCTGCTGGGAATTGCACCCTGCAGTGTGGGGTTAGTGTCAGAAATAAAACTCACAGGAGAGAGACTATCCTTGAGTCACATTTCTAGGCTAAGTGACATTTCTTTATAAAAAAATTTTATCTAAAAATTTTTATTTAAATGCAGACAAAAGCCATGACTGTTTGATACAATTCTAGAGTTGAAATGGATAAGATAACAACCTCCACTATTAAAATTGATAAGTTTAATAATCAATTTTAGTTCTTTTGGCACACCCAATAGTGCTCAGGACTTGCTGCTGGTTCTGCACTCAGGGATCACTACTGATGGGGTTAAGTGACCATATGGAATGCTGGGTATCAAATGCAGGTCAGATATGTACAAGGCAAATAACAGACCTGCTTTACTATTTTTCTGTCCCATTGGTCTGTCCTCTTATAACAGAGTGTAGAAAAGTATCAGTTCAAACCTCATCTCTGCTAAACAATTCAGAAGCCACAGAAGCTATGGCTTCAAATCAAGATCTCAAACTAATTTACACAATATTATTTTTCTTCACTGCTTGAATGTCAATGAAGCTTGGGTATGATGCAAAATTGTTTTTATTCTAGTTTATGACACCATCCTAACCAGAATAATGTTTAAAATATAAAATGGATAAAAATACTTAAAATAACAACAGAATAATAAATGATAAAATAGCAACTTTCACTGTTTTATTTGCTTTTAGTGCCATTTTTAAATTTTGCAAGATAGATCTCTCTGAAAACAGAGCAACTTGTAAATGTCTTAAAGATAGATAATCCAAATAACATTTTATTTCAGTTGGCCTAGATAATGTAAAACAAAGTCTTAAAAAAAGAAATTATATTCTGTGTACTTGGCAATGAAAGTTGCAGGAATCCATTAAATATCTAGTTTAAACAGAGAAACACTTCAAAAACTCTGCTTTAAAACAACGAATTTTTCTTGGAATATAATTCAAGACTTGCCTCTGAGGAGAGAGATTTTAGTATACATTAGGAAGAGTTAGTTAAGAACAAGAATTTAGGAAGCAGCATTGAAGCAAAACTAACTTCTATCACAATTAATTTTTATTATTTTCAAATATATAATGGGTACTTGTTATTTAACAAGTTTAAGATATGATTTTTTAAAAAAGAAGATAAGGAATGTGTCTCTTGGCCTGAACCCTTTCCTCCCCCCAGCAAATACATTCCTTGGTAAGTCACACAAAGTGATTTAAATAACAGTTGGACATTTCACAGAGAGTTTTAAGAAAACCAACATGCATAAAGCATTTAAAATAACTCCTGGGCTGGGGGGAGATAGATCAAAGGGCTGGTATGCATGCTTTTTCCTGGGGGAGGCCTTGTCCAATGTCAGAACTGAATAGTCCCCTGTGCACCATGTCTGGACTAACTCCTGAGCACTTCTGAGTATGGTTTAAAAATAAAAGCAGGATCAAAATAAAAATTACAAAAAAAAATTTCAATAATTCCTGAAGCATTGTTACCTGTTAGGATTATTATCCCAAAAAGCATTTTATTAGCTTTCTTGTTGCACTCAACTGTGTGGTGATACAGGGAAGTTAGACCTCTGGTGATGAGCCTCCTGTACTGATGCTGATGCCAAAGTCTGTCTGCCTGAAAGCTGTATAATGTTTACAAACTCACACTAGTTCAATGGGAATAGAAGTCTTGCACAAAACATAACTTCAAAAAAGCTTTATTTTCATCCCTGAATATTTCTTTATGTGGAATGCACTAACATCTTTATTAATTTTGCTAGCTGAAATAAGGATGCTATAAATAAAATGCTTCCCCTTTAAAAGGGAGAAGATGTTTCTATTATAATTCGCAAAGTCAAGGATAAATTATTTGGCCAATTTCATTTTTAATTTTTCAAGGTTAGGTTTCTAAATTAAAAAAAAATAGTACCCCAAACATAACAAAACCCTAACCCTGCCTGTCATAAAGGTTAGTGAAGGTTTCAGTGTTAAAAATCTCATATTGATGCTACCTTTCATTCATGCACTGGGACAAGTTTTTTAAAAATCACTCAATTTAGGCTGGTTCTACTGTTATTATCACCTGAAGATGAGTAATGGGAGTCAGAGAATGGCTACATCTGGTTAGATGAGGTGTCTAAGGGAATTCCGCTAATTGGCCTGGCCACTGAAGGCTGGCTCTCAGACACAGCTCTAGACATCAGGAAGGACCATAATCTGGAGGAGACCTGAGGATCCTCTTCTCTGACAACTGTTTGCTCTCCCAACTTCCTTCCTTCTTCAGTACAATATTATTGGGATGCTGTAAGGAAGGGGCAGGCCCCAAGTGCTCTAATCTACAAAACCAGCTGTTTGAGGGGAGCCTTTCCTAGCAATCCTGTGGAGGAACCCTGACTTTTTTTATTATACAATTTTTATCTTATTTTTAATTTTTATTAGTGAAACACCATGAGGTACAGTTGTAGATTTACAATTTTTTGTGCTTGGGTTTCAATTATACAATGATCAAATACCCATCCCTCCACCAGTGCCCATTTTCCAGCACCATGGATAATATCCCTCCCACCCCCATCCCCCCATCCCCCGTCTCTGTGGCAGGGCAATCCCCTGTTTTCTCTCTCTCCGTTTGGGTGTTGTGGTCTGCAAAAGAGGCATTGAGTGGCAAACATGTTCAGTCCATAGTCTACTTTCGACATGCATCTCCCCTCCTGGGAGGATCCTCCAAACACCCTTTATTTGGTGCTCCCTTCTCTATCTGAACTGCCCTTTCCTCTAGGATACCCGGCTGGCCTCTAAGTTATGGAGTAATCCTCCTGGTGCTGATCTCAGCTATTCTTGGGTATTAATCTCTTACTTTGTTACTTTATATCCCCCAGATGAATGCAATCTTTCTATGTCTATCCCTCTCTTTCTGACTCATTTCGCTTAGCATGATACTTTCCATGTTGTACCACTTGTATGTAAATTTCATGACTTCATCTTTTCTAACAGCTACATAGTACTCCATTGTGTAGATGTACCAAAGTTTCTTTAACCAGTCATCTGTTCTTGGGCACCCAGGAATCCTGACATTTATTTCTGGTATTTAACATTTAATTCCATTTTTTTCCCAGATACAAACTTTATACTACTGTAAAGAAAACGATACATATATTATTTATGAAATGCATTTATAAATACATTTATATAGTATTCCTAAAAATTATTATTAGAGAAAACTACACATTTCTTCCATTTTAAATTCCACGCATTCAGGGTTGGGAAGGGGCCACACGTGGGGTGGGGGGCCTTGAGGGGCTCCAGTCCCCGAGACCGGGTCTCAGAGTGAGTCTCCCGAGACCAGGGCTCAGAGACCCAAGGCCGCGCGAGGCCTCGCTTACCGGAAGCTGCTGAGGGGACTTCCGCTTTCCCCGGAAGTGGCGCAGGGCCGGCACGTGGGTGGCGGGAGTCGAGGCTCGCCTGCGGGGCCTGGGAAGAACTCGCGCCAGGTGAGAGAAACGCTTTTCGGGCGCCGCGCAGAGTCTCGCGAGGCGTGAGAGGTGGCTGTGGCCGGTGAATCGGCCCCTGGAGGTGGCGCCTCGGCCCGCGCTGCGCTGCTGCTGGGACGCCGCGAGGGTGCGGGGGAGCCGGGGCCTGGGCTCCGCTGCCTCCTGGGGACCCGGAGGTTGGGGGTTCGAACACGAGACCCCTGCAAGAGTTGGGGGGGGGGAGACAGAGACAGAGAGACACAGGGAGAGAGAGGGAGAGAGACAGACAGAGACTGAGAGACAAAGAGGCAGAGAAAGACAGAGACTGACAGTGAGAGAGAGAGAGGGAGAGCGACAGAGAGGGAGAGAGACAGAGACTGAGAGACAGAGAGGGAGAGATACAGAGACTGAGAGACAAAGAGGGAGAAAAAGGGAGAGAGACAGAGACTGAGAGACAGAGAGGGAGAGAGAGACAGAGATTGAGAGAGGGAGAGAGACAGAAACTGAGAGAAAAAGAGAGGGAGAGAGAGACAGAGACAGAGAGACAGACTGAGAGACAGAGAGGGAGAGAGACAGAAACTGAGAGAGAGGTAGAGAGACAGAGACTGAGAGACAAAGAGGGAGAGAGAGGGACAGAGACAGAGACTGAGAGACAGACTGAGAGACAGAGAGGGAGAGAGACAGAAACTGAGAGAGAGGGAGAGAGACAGAGACTGAGAGACAAAGAGGGAGAGAGAGGGAGAGAGACAGAAATTGAGAGACAGAGACTGACAGAGACTGACAGAGTGAGAGAGGGAGAGAGACAGAAACTGAGAGACAAAGAGGCAGAGAAAGACAGAGACTGACAGTGAGAGAGAGAGGGAGAGAGACAGAGAGGGAGAGAGACAGAGAGGGAGAGAGACAGAGACTGAGAGACAGAGAGGGAGAGATACAGAGACTGAGAGACAGAGAGGGGAAGAGAGAGACAGAGATTGAGAGAAGGAGAGAGACAGACAGAAACTGAGAGACAAAGAGAGGGAGAGAGAGAGAGAGGGAGAGAGACAGAGACTGAGAGACACAGAGAGGGAGAGAGACAGAGACTGAGAGACAGCGAGGGGGGAGAGAGAGGGAGAGAGACAGAGACTGAGAGACAGAGGGAGAGAGACAGAGACTGAGAGACAAAGAGGGAGAAAGAGGGAGAGAGACAGAGACTGAGAGACACAGAGAGGGAGAGAGACAGAGACTGAGAGACAGCGAGGGGGGAGAGAGAGGGAGAGAGACAGAGACTGAGAGACAGAGGGAGAGAGACAGAGACTGAGAGACAAAGAGGGAGAAAGAGGGAGAGAGACAGAGACTGAGAGACAGAGAGGGAGAGAGAGACAGAGATTGAGAGAGGGAGAGAGACAGACAGAAACTGAGAGAAAAAGAGAGGGAGAGAGAGACAGAGACAGAGAGACAGACTGAGAGACAGAGAGGGAGAGAGACAGAAACTGAGAGAGAGGGAGAGAGACAGAGACTGAGAGACAGAGAGGGAGAGAGAGGGACAGAGACAGAGACTGAGAGACAGACTGAGAGACAGAGAGGGAGAGAGACAGAAACAGAGAGAGAGGGAGAGAGACAGAGACTGAGAGACAAAGAGGGAGAGAGAGGGAGAGAGACAGAAATTGAGAGACAGAGACTGACAGAGACTGACAGAGTGAGAGAGAGAGGGAGAGAGACAGAGACTGAGAGACAGGGAGAGAGACAGAGACTGAGAGATAGGGAGAGGGGGAGAACGAGGAAGAGAGACAGACTGAGAGACAAAAAGCGAGAGAGAGGGAGACAGAGACTGAGAGACAAAGAGAGGGAGAGAGAGACAGAGACAGACAGAGAGTGAGAGAGACAGACGGAGACTGAGAGACAGAGGGAGAGACAGACAGACAGGGACTGAGAGACACAGAGAGGGAGAGAGACAGAGATTGAGAGAGAGGGAGAGAGAGACAGACAGAGAGAGACTGACACAGAGAGTGAGAGAGAGGGAGAGAGACAGAGACTGAGAGACAACAAAGAGGAAGAGAGGGAGAGAGTGAGGGAGGGGGAGAGAGGCAGAGCGAGAAAGAGAGGGAAGGAGAGAGAGAGACAGAGAGACACAGAAAGAGACAGAAACGCACAGAGGCAGAGAGAGAGAGGGAGAGTAAGAGGGAGAAAGAGACAGAGAGACAAACAGAGAGCACGACCCCCACCCACTGCCAGAAAGGGTGTTTAAGTGCCCTAAAACCACACTGCTCTTTCTCCCCCGCTCACCTGTGAGCTGATTGGTCAGGGCCACCTCTGGGTGCCCCTTCGTGCTGTTCTGTCCTTACCTGGCCAACCACTAGAGTCCTCCTTTATTTTTCTGATTGGCCGGCACCGTCTGCAAGCATTGCCTCGATTCTGTTTGTTCTGTTCCGTTTCCCGAGGGGTGGTCTCGGGCTCATGCCCATCCACTGTCTCTTCCGTGATCACACAGACGAGTAGCCTGGCTGCTGACAACTAAAGTGGCTGCACTTGGGTCCAGTCTGAAAGCGGAGGAGGCCCTTCGGTTCTAACGGGATTCAGTAGCTGAACGGGCAGGGGTGGGGCGAGAGGGCCGACATGCGTTCGGGTGTGTTCAGAATGTTTCCATAGTCATTCGTGAAAATTTCTCCTTCGCTTGGCACCATTTTTTTTTTTTACTCACAAAATCTTTCACAGACATGGTTTTGTAGCATGGTGGCGAGCCCTGTATGTGGGCCCATAAAGGTTTGCGTCTCCTGACCAGAGTGTCAACGCAGGAGCCCCAAGCGGTGGCAACTTAGAGCTGAACGCTCTGATGCTTGGGTTTGGCGCCCGGTTAAAAACAAAGTGTGCCTCATGGTGTTTCACTAATAAAAATTGAAAAAAAAAAAAGGAAAAAAAGAAAGAAAGAAAGGGGAGGGTAGCTGCCCCTTAGGAGAAAGGCCTCCGTGGTTCTTTTTTGGTTTAAAATAAAAATTGTTTTGATTTTTATTTTGATACCTGTTACAAACTAATCATCCCCCCAGTATGCTCTTTTAATATAAGATGTAAAACTTTTTCAAAAAAAAAAAAAACCAACAAAACAAAATGAGCTTCTTGTGTTAAATGGTTCAGGTTCCCAAGTTGGGGATGAGATGATGGTGTCGGTGCCTGCCTGCCCCGTTTCACTCCCGGCATCATAGAAAGCTGAATGTAGTCGCAGACGCAGCTTTGCGGGATGCTCAGAACTGAAGGCAGGGCGGGAGCAAGCAACAGACAGTACTGCACGCAGGGCAGCCAACCCAGGTTCGATCCCCAACACCCATTATGGCCCCCAGAGGTAGCACGTCACATGCCTATGCGAGGCCTGACTGTAAGATCTGTCCTACTGCCTATTAGTACTAGTCACGTCGTCCTTTGCTCTTAATTTTGTTATTGGTTTTTCCTTGCAGGGGGTAGGGGCATTTCCAGAGTTGGTTGAGGATTACTCCTGGCTCTGAACTCAGGAGTTGCACCTAGTGATGCTCTGGGAACCAAGTGCAGCGTAATCAAATCAGGGTCAGCCACACAGAAGGCAAGTGCCTTAACCCTTGTGCTCTCCTCTGGCCCACGTTGCATCATCCGTAACCTTTCTTCCTTGAGTTCTGTTTCCTGGTTGAGGACAGAGACGATCTCAGCAGAACTTGGCTCCGGCTAATGCCTACTCTGTGATTGGTCCGAGAGCCCCCAGGAAGGCGTAAACCAAGTAAGAAATAGAAACAAGTAGAAACAGGCAGATGGATCGGGTTTATGTAATTGGGGGGTCGGGGGAGGGGGGAGCTTTGATGCTAAGAAAGGACGCCGTCACTTTTTCTTGAGCATCTTCAAGCAATCGATGTGTTGCTGAGTCATGGCCAGCGCTAGGCAAAGCCCCCAGACAGATTTGTTTTCCCCTAAAATAGAGAACTGGCTTGAAGCCATACTATAAGATTCACCCAAAGAATGTACTTGGGAAAGTTAGAGACAAGGTATCAATCAGAACCATGGGATGACTGACTTGACTAAGAGCACATTGTGCCTGCAATCTTGATGACGTTACGTTGGTTGTGTTTGTTGTATTGATTCTTTAGCAGTTCTTGTCAGAAGCCTGCCATTAGACTGGAGGATTCGGGGTTTTCTTCCTGGAGGATTTGGCCACTTTATGTAAATGATCCTGTGCTTTGCTGCAAGCCCAGAAGACAGCCCCTTGAAGCAACTGATGGAGGATGTCTCCTGGGAGATTATTTGTTTCATTGCTGCTTGCTCTGTAGATCAGATCTCTTTTGCTCTTTTGGTACCATCAGATGTGAATGCGCAGAGAGAGATAGCCGTCTAAGCACTCTGCCCTCTAGGACTGCTCACTGACATGGTCACTGTCACGATATCCCGGTCATTCATCCTATAAACTTCAGATAGAAAAATTATGACAAGTTTTATAGGTCATTCAAAATGAACAGCACCAAGTTGTCGCATAGGTCTAGCCTAACACAATTCCTAGCTTTCATTCAAACTGCAAATTTTCAATGGCGACATCTGCTGTGGCTTACCTGACACTAGCTGCATATATCAAGAGGAGATTGTGAGTATTGGTAACGGAATTGGCCTTGTTATGTGGAGAAAAGAGGAGACAGCTCTTTGGCAGCCTTGCCATAAGATGGTTCTTGCAGACTAGATAAAGAAAGTAAATGGGCTGCCGCAGATGTAGTAGTTGTTATGGAAAGATGACGAAGAAGTAAGATAAAGGGGATTGCCTATTTTTAAGGTGATGAGTATCAGGCTTGCTAACACTTGGGGGCAAGGTATGAACCTTTAGAGGTTTCATGTAATGTATTGTGGTATTCTCCAGAAACCATGTTCAGGCTTAATGGAGGCTTGGGCTAAAAGGGGACATTGGTGGGAAAACTGGTCACCCTAAGCAGTGGCAAAAAGTCACGAGTGTGTTCTTTGATTTGTGTCCTCCACACCCACTGTACCACAGGGAAGGAAGCAGTAATGTTCTCTATGGCACCCATTTTTGGGCTTCTGACAAACTAGGGATCACATTGCCATATAGTGCAGCAGATGCTTCCTTACTGCAGACCTTTGACTTTAAGCACCCAGGTAAATCATATGCACTTTAAAGTCTGAGGAACACTGGAATGAGCGCTTTCTGTCTGTTGTGTTATACAGGACTTTCTCAGTTCTGTTAGTAGATCTGAAAGAATAATTAATATCTTCAGCCAGTTTTGATCTTTTCAGATCTATTATCTACACGCAAGAGGTGTTTTAGAGCAGAGCCATCAGGGCAGGTTCTGTTGGTCCCTTCATGTACATACCTGTGTGCCAGTCACTGACTGGGCGGGCCGGGTACTGGGGCGGGAGTGCAGTCTCCATGTTGACCTCTTTGGCTTCACCTGCTCCAATTTTTATTTTATAACTTGGATTAGATTTTTCCTGGGAAACAGAACCAAACAGAAACACGTATGAATAAGAAATAGACTTATTATATGTAATTGGCTCACATCGCTATGGGGGCTAAGAAATCCCCTGCAAGCTTGGGAACCCAGAAAACTGGTGATATTATTCCAGTCCAAGTCTGGAGACTTGACAGCTAAGGGAGGTGGTGCTATAATCTCCAGTACAATGGCAGAAAACAAGTGTCTCAGTTGAAGCAGGCAAGGAGAAAGACAAAAAGGACACATTCCTCCTGCATCTGCTTTTTGTTCTATTTAGATTTTCAGTAGTATGCGTGATGCCTGCCCACATCTGGGATGGCCAACTTCATTATTGAATTCAGAGACATATTCCAGTCTCCTCTATAAACAGCCACTCAGTCACACCAAGAAATGAGGTCTAATTGAGGTACTTCATGAGATGTCAAATTGACAGATAAATTGAACCATCACACAAATAAAGAACTGTTTTATTTGTTTATCATTCTGGCTGAGTTTACCGTTTTAATTCTAATGCTAGACTGTGTGTATGTGTGTGTGTGAGAGAGAGATATGATTTTATAACTGAAAATAACTTAAAGATCTCAAACATAATCCTCAGATTTTAGGAGACAAGAGAGAAATGTGTCACCTGGGAAGATGAGATGATTGTGTGATCCACTATAGATAGAATTTGATTTGGTGGACATGCTGACTTTTGGACAAAGATCAGTATATTGTTCCAGGTGAACTGTTCCTTCATTTCTGCAGGGTCTCATGAAATGGAGTACATGGCAGAAAAATACATGGCCACCATTGGCCATGGAAACAGGGGTTAATACAAATTTGCATTTGGATACTTTTAGTCTGTATTTGAATGTGCAAGAGGAGAGAGTTACCTTTGAGTGTGAATTTTGGAATACAGATTTGTCTGGATAAAGTTTTGGGCACTTTGTATAAATTAGCCTGTTTTATGAAGTGCTAGCAGTAATTATGGGTAGGCACAGTAACTGTGTACAGTTTTATTCAACTCTAATAGTATGCACGAGTCTGGTTGATGCTAAAAAGGATGGAGATTAAAGCATATTTTTACAGCTAGTATATAGGTTTGACTTTAAAATATAGTCTTTGTTTTTGATTTGTCCCTGCTCTTATATAGTTAAAATCTAGTGGAGAAAACAGGTGATGTAATTCAAATATGTAAAGTGAAAATGGAAACTTCGTTATAATAATTCTGGTTACAATAGTTCTTCACACATTGCTAAATGAAGCTTAGGTAGATACTGGCATAAAACCACTTGGGAAGAGATGACCAGAGCCTCGAATGTTGTGTGGAGGGGAACAACACTTTAAAAAATTTTGAGGATGAGGAAGATCTGGGGGTGGCATGCAGAGATGACGTCTTGTGAAGGAGTTGATATAAACGAAGCAAGCATAAGAAAATGGAGTATAATGACGTGGAGGCAATTGTTTGTGTGTAGGAATCTGATTGACGCTAGGGGTTGGCAACACTGGCACATCCTGCCTTACATAGAGCCACATCTCTGGGTGAATGGCTGCCCTGTTTCGCTGCAGGATGTTACAATTAAGTTTCTTTGACAAATATGTCAGTAATACACGGATGGATGGGTGAAAGGGTGATGCAAAGTGTGTTAGTGAATAAAAGAAAATTAGGAATAGAATTAAGATAGTAGCAGGAAAAAACAGAGTTGGTTGAACTCAGTATTGAATAGATGGGATAAATCTAATGCTTCATTCTTTCACTCATAACCTAGAGTCTTAGAATTATCTTAAAGTGAAGACTAATATTTGCCATATATAATGTTAACTAGTTCTATATTCTTTTAAATGTAAAAACTATTGACACATTTTTATTAATCAATTTCTGAATATAAATAATAATATCCTGGGTCTCCCTTAGTTCTGTTGCTTAGAGTTAAGAAACTATAATTTTTTTCCTAAAGTAGTTTTCTTTTTAGGGGAAATGGGGCATAACTGGCAGTGCTGGAGGGTCACTTCTGGTGGGTTGGGGGGGATCAAGGCAAGTCCCTTGATAACAATTACATTAAAATGATATATAAAATTATAACAATATATAATACATAAATGATAATATATTGTATCTCATGGTGCTGCTCTCTCATGGATTTATATATTTTAAGTGCCACTTTTAGTGTCTCAGTGTTAGCTTCTGTTACTTCTTCTTTTTCTTATTCTTAATGAATATGAACTTTTAAAAAATGACAGAATTTGCTGTATACCAAAATAGCCATTTTCTACCAAAATCATAGTTTCAAATGATGTGTCAGCATATAACATTAAAGAAAATCTGCTTCGTTGCATTATATAAGTTTTATATGTAAGTCATAATAATCATCATCTCTGCATATTATTGAATTCACCATAAAAAGTCCAGTTCCATCCTTCACCATGCATTTTACTTTATTTTTCTACCACTCTTCCCTTTTTCACCCTGTTACTATTAATTTGGTCTTAGAGTCTAAAGGGTTATATTTTAGTATACAAAATTTTGATATTCCAACTGGTCTGTGACTGGAATTCTTAGGTCACCTCAAAAATACATTCTACATGGAGGGAAGTGTAATCTTCCTTTATACACCAAGTTTTAAAGGTGTATAGAGGTATATGTGTGTCCACCTTTATACACTGTCAAAAAAACACTGTCCTCCCGTTGTTCATTGATTTGCTCGAGGGGGCCCAGTAACTTTTTGAGACTTGCTGTTACTGTGTTTGGCATATGGGATACGTCACGGGTAACTTGCCAGGCTTTGCCATGCGGCAAGTTACTCTTGGTAGCTTGTCGGGTTCTCCACCCGGCTCGGCCAGGCTGGCTGTGCACAAGGCAAATGCCCTATCGCTGTGCTATCACTCCAGCCCACCTTTATACACACACACTTCCTATATACATCTTTCATGTTTTCTTGTCTTTTGTCACTTTATTCTCTTCGGGTATTTAGTGCAACTCTTGAACCAGTCCTTTTATAACTATTACTCATTCTCTTCTCTCCACCTTAAGAATAGCTTATTTTATTACTTAACAAAAATCCTATGAGTTATTACTATTACTGCTTTAAACAGTTACGTTGTAAATTAGGAATAATAAAAGTTTTATTGTATTTCCATTCATTCCTTCTGTTCCCCTTTCTTGTCTCTTTATACTCTGAGTTTCTGACCATTCTACGCCATTCGTTCTCTCTGAAAACTTAACATTCTGCTTGTTATAGGGTTGGTCAACTTGTGAATCATCTAGTCAGTTTTTGTCTGGAAAAATGCCATTTCTCTCTCACTTTGTTGTTGTAATTCTAAACAAAAAAATAAGGTAAGACTTTCTCCTGCCAACTTAAGATTTTGTTTTCAACATTGGTTCTGTTGTTTGAACATGATGGATAAGTACATCTGTAGTTTGTATTTCTTTTTTCCTTTTTCTTCTGGCTAGATATTCTCTGAGATTGAACATTCTTTGTACTGGCACTACTTTTGGAAAGCCATCAGCTATCTCACTGTTCTTTTTATTCTTTTCTCTCATTTTCCCCTGGCATTTCATTATATACTAGTTAATACCTTTTGAAATTGCCCCACACTTGTTTTCATGCTTGTTTTTTCCTTTTCCATACCCAGCCAGTGATGAGTGTCCATCAGAGGCATTCTTCATTTTTATTATAGTAGTTTGGATCTTCCACATTTTAGTTTCCTTTTCATTGTCGGTTTGAGATCCGTTCCCTGGTGCTGCTCAGCCTGGTGTGCTCAGGGTGAGGCACTGAGTCACACGGGCAGTACTCAGGGAAATATGCACAGTGCGGTGGGCAAGCCCAGGGCCTTCAGTATGCGAAGCATGGACTCTGCCACTCTCACATCCACCCACCTAAGACTTAATTATGTCTTAGAATTTTCATCTATATTAGCTATCTTCATTAGAGCCTTTAACAGTTCAGTGTGATTTTTAAATTACCTGGTAATTTTGATTCCTTGGGTCATATGCTTTTGCTTCACCTCTTAACACAGTTTCTTTTTTCCTTGTCTTATGGCATACCGCGCAATTTGTTTGAAAGGTGGATACACATTGGGCAACTGAGCAAGTAAACAGGCCTTTCAATGTAAATGGTATGGTGTAAGTCTAGAACTTGGGCCCGTCCTGTTTCTGTCTCTCCTGATCGACCTAAGCAAGAGAGGTTTCTGGGCTGTGCAGGCGGGCCAGCGGGCATTGTCCAAAGCCGTGTTGGAAGAGGGGGCGCGGGAGTTGGGCGTTTCTGCCGCGAACTTCCTCATCAGTTTCTCCCGGTGGCCCCGCGCAGTGGGGAGGGGAGGTCGCCGGGGCGGCCTTGCCCCGCTGCAGGTGGAGCTGGACTCCGCAGCCCGGTGGGTCCCGCACGGGGCTTCAGATTTGGCTTCCCGATGACTAAGCCGACCCCCGCAGCCGCCGGCTTCCTTTGTCCCTGCTGCACCACGTTCTGCTGGCAGCCGCCTGCAGCCAACGGCACGGGCGACCGCTAGGCGGTACCCGAGCCGTGCCGGCCGCCGGGGCGTGGGGAATGACTTCGTAGCGGCTTCCCCGGCCGGGCGGGCGGGCGGGCGGGCCCGGGGCTGGGGTGGCGCGTTTCCAAGGTCAACCCCGTCCCCAGCTTATTGGCGGAGTCAGACCGACAACTCAGGACAGACCCTTCCCCTCGCACCCACCCCCGTCCGCGAAGGCGGGCTGGGAGGCCGCCTCGGCGTCGCACGGCCTGGGCTCCGGGCGGGCAAGCGCTCAGGCAGCAGCTGTCTGCACATCTGGATGCGGCAGCGCCTTTCCCTGCAGGGTGGAGGCGGAGGACGGGGGGAGCGCGTGCGCGCGCGCACACACACACGGCTGTACACAGACACACACACGCACACACGCGCACACACACACACCTTTCCCTGTGCACGCGCGGCGCGGTGAGCGCCGTGGTGCGCGCGCGCGTGTCCGCGTGCGCGTGCGCGCCGGGAGTTGGGGGGAGCCGCGGGTGGGGGCGCGGGGAGGGACCCGTCTCTCCGCCCGCCTCCCGGGGCTCGCTGCTGCAGGGTGACAGCCCGGCCGTTCATTGTCCAGCCGTCGCGGCGCGGCTCGGCGCGGGGCCGGCCGTTGCCGGGGCGCCGCGGCTGGAGGAACTGATGCGGGCGACTTCCCGCGGGCCCGGGCCGGGCCGGGGGGCGCGGGGTCGGCCGGGCTGACGCTTCCGCTCGGGGCCGCGTGGAAATTTCCGCGGACTCGGCGCGGCGCGGGGAGCGTGTGGGGCGGGCGCGGAGCTGGCCCGGGCGCCGCGGCGCGGGAGGGAGGCGGGAGCGGCGGCCAAGGGCGCGGGAGCGTCCCTGGACGCGGACGGGGAGATGCGCGCCCCGGAGCCCAGGCCGGGCTGAGCCGCCGAGCCCGCCCCGGACCCCCTGCCCCACCCCCGGCGCCCGACGCCGACCCCCGCGGCCGCCGCATCCCCCCGACACTTCTCCGCGGCGAACCCCGGGAAAAAGTTGCTGCAAAGATTTTCTCACGCGGACCGCCCGAGCCCCGGAGGCCGGGGGAGCGAGCGCGCGAGCCCGGCGAGCGGGGGAAGGTGCGTGTGCATGGGGGGCCGGCCGTGGGCCCCCCGGGACTGCGCTGAGACTCTGGCCTCGCCTCCCCGCCCGGGACCCCCGGGGTGGCGATGAGCCCCTGCGGGCGGGCCTGGCGACACCAGTCCAGAGGGGCCATGGCAGTGCTGGCGTGGAAGTGGCCCCGGACCCGGCTGCCCGTGGGCGCCAGTGCCCTCTGCGTCGTGGTGCTCTGCTGGCTCTACATCTTCCCGGTCTACCGGCTGCCCGACGAGAAGGAGATCGTGCGGGGGGTGCTGCAACAGGGCACTGCGTGGCGGAGGAACCAGACGGCCGCCAGAGTCTTCAGGTACACGTTCGTCCGTCCGTCCGTCCGTCCGGAGCCCCTGCCCTTGGCCTTTCCTTGCCCGGCTCACCTTGCCCCCCGCCCCCACCCCCGCCCCTGGTGCCCTTGCCCTTCAAGTGCCATCCCCAACCTACATCTGAAGCTGGGGACCCTTGTCATTCACCCCCACAGATGTGCGAAAGCCTTTGCATCTTCGCAAACCCAAGATGTGCTCAAGGCTTTGGCGGGGGTGGGGGGGGGGGGTGGGGAGCCAGGCTAACTTTGTGCCTCGCTCTTCCTAAGAATGTGGGATGACTCTTGGGTCCTGGGAAACCTCTGCCGCCTTAGAGAACCAGAAGCAGGAAGGAGACTCCCTCCCCCCCACCCCTCTGCCCCGCAGGGACATGGTTAAGAATGAGAGAGTGGTGAGCAAGTCTGGAGCTTTGTAGATGTGGGTACCCCTCTAGGGCCGCATATGGAACCAGGTGATTTATGGATGTCCCACCAAGAGATCTGGGATCTCAGCCTCTGGACCATTTCCTCCTCCAAGCAGACGGGGAGTCTGCCGGAGGATGTTCCTTCCCCAAGGTCATGCACCTTGCAGGGATGGAAGCTGTGCTTCTCATCACCCCAAGCTCCCAAACTGCCCAGCTCTTATGCCCGGCTTAGCGTGTGTAGACGGCCTTGTGAGGGGCGGGAAACATGCTTTAGGCAAGCACTTTCTTGAAGTCAGGAAATAAAAAACTTAAAACCAGGGTGGAAATCAGAAAGAACTCTGCGCAGAGGTACTCGGAGATTGTTGTTTCGCCTCCTTTCTGGGGGTTTTAGTTTAAGTGTCTAAAAATAAGTTTCTGGCAGGCAGAACCCCCTCCTCTCTCTTCTGGGGCTTAATGAGGGGACACATAGGGACATCGCCACTCCAGCCGCCATTGCTAGTTGCCCGTTTGTGTGTCCCAAGGACTGGATTTTGGCTTTCTGTGATTCTAGTGGTCGGGATGGAGACCCCTTCTCTTTGCTCTGATAGTGCCAGTTCCAACAGTCTATGGTGCAGGTAAGAGCCAAGTGAAACACTTTTCACTTCTGTTAGATACAAATGTTCCTATAGGATAAAACTTTTTTTTTTCTTTTTGGGTCACACCTGGCGATGCACAGGGGTTATTCCTGGCTCTGCCCTCAGGAATCACTCCTGGCGGTGCTCAGGGGACCATATGAGATGCTGGGAATCGAACCCGGGTTGGCCCTGTGCAAGGAAAAAGCCCTACCCGCTGTGCTATCACTCCAGTTCCTAGGATAAAACTTTAAAAACATATGGTCTCCCTTCTCAGACCTGCTCAAGGAAAGGAGGTCAGGGAGAAAACAACCAGTGCGTTCAGAGGAAAGCAGCTGAATTCTTTCAACTGGGAGGGAAGACTCTTTCAAATTATACTATCATTAAATTTAAAAATAACTCCATTCCCTTTAAAAGTAGATACTAATTTTCTTTCACCTTCATGGTATTGACTTTTGGACTCAGACTCTTTGGGGAAAAAAACAAAGTAGCACCCCACAATTCTTTTATCTAAAAGCAAAAAGCGCTTTCATTTCAAACAGTAAGAAAATGAGCCATGAACTTGCTGTTGGTCTTAGATCACCCTCCGCCCCCACCACTTTTTTCTTTTTAGTATAGGAGGTAGGAAAAACCTGTTAAATGACATATTTTCATGGGGAGGATATAGTCAGGTGAAACATGCATCCTATGGCGGAGACACTTTTGCCTTGCTTTCTGGAGCGTGGAGTCTTCAGCATGTTGGCTGTCATGTGGTTTCGTCTCTTTATGCTGAGAATTACTTATTAAAATCCATAATGCTGTAAAGGCTGCCAAAACACATATCCCTCCGACTCAGTGTCTGTAACATTGTGAGAGGCACCATTGTTGATTGAGGAGTTTAGGCTTCAGAGTTAGGATCCCGAATTTTCAGTTTGACTCTGCCATGACTAGATGAATGACATTTTTTCTGACAAGTTGCTTTATCTCTTTGAGTTGTGTGTGTGTGTGTGTGTGTGTGTGTGTGTGTGTGTGTGTGTGTGTTGGGGATCACACCTAAAGCACGAACTCTACTGCTGAGCTAAATCTGAAGCCCTAGTTTCCTTATTTATATATGGCGATAATAGCATCTGCCTTGCAGGGTTAGCATTAAGAAATAACAAACCCCAAACACCCTGGTGCATGCACTGGATGGTGTTATTAGAACTGTTATAAATGATGTTTTCTGTGCACGTTGTGATGTAACCTTTATCAGACTAGCCCATAAGAATGTGTAATTCTAGGACCAGAGAGAAGTACCGTGGGGTAGGGTGCTTGCCTTGCAGTCTGAGATTTGATTCCTGGCACCTGGTCTGTGGTCTGTGGTCATTGTCACCTCCCCACCTCCCCCCGTAAACTCACCAGGCAGGAATGATCTCTGAACTCTGAGCAGAAGCAAGCCCTGAAAAAAGCTCGGTGTGACCCCAAAACCTTAAAACAAACAAAAATTGGGGGAGGGGGGTAATGTCATCCGCCAAATTCGCAGAGGAACATTAATGGCTCATATTCTGGTCTCGCTCCCCTGACAGCACACATTAATAAATAGGAACGGGTAGGGTTATTTTATTACTTAAAAGGATTGTATGTGAGGTAACATAATGACAGTATTAATATTCATATTTTTGGTATACAAAGTTGCTGCAGTTCCACCAACACCGATGAGCCCAGGACACTGCACTTCCTTGGTGTCTTCCTCATGCGTTCCTCAGTGCCCACCCACTGTTTGGTACCCTCAGTTCTGGTGTCCATGCCCTTGCTTGGTTTTTCTCTCTGTCTTTTTTTTGCTTCTTGGGTCACACCCGGCGATGCGCAGGGGTTATTCCTGGTTTGGCACTTAGGAATTACTCCTGGTGGTGCTCAGGACCATATGGGATGCTGGGAATCAAACCTGGGTTGGCCACGTGCAAGGCAAACGCCCAACCCGCTGTGCTATCACTTCAGCCCTGCTTGGTTTCTTTGTATACCACATAGGAGAGAGATCATCTGGCATTTGTCCTTGTAATGGGAGATTTTTTAAAAGACAGTAAAAATGTCTCATGATTTAAATTAAATTTCTTGTTTCACAAATCACAAAATCACAAATCATCCTGTTATTCGTCGATTGCCTCGAGCAGGCCCCAGTAACGTCTCCTTCATCCTAGCCCTGAGATTATATTCAAGGCTCTTTAGGAGAATGAGACCCATCATTTCTTGTTTACTGGGATAAAATTTATTATTTTCAGACATCTTGTCAGTTAGCCTGTGGGTAGTATTGTGTCTTTGTTAAGTATGAGATCAGCCAGAGCCTTTAGGACGTTACGGAGACACAATTTTGTCAAATGGGTATCTGTGTTTTCTGAACTGCAATAGTTAATGCACAAATACACATACATGGATGTCCAAAGTGCGCTTTTGTCTAGAGATGGATGCATGCGGTATAGTGCATGCAGGCATACAAATAGTTGCAGCCACCCAGCCACTGTTTCATGACTGACAGAATCACACTGGATGTCATTTAACTCTGGGACAGTGGTGAGCAGAATGGACAGATTCCTCAGAGACAGCTTCACCTCCTACTTGGGAGCTACTGGCAAGACAAGTGAAGAAATTGTGTGACTTAAAGTACATTCAGATGGTACGAGGACAGAAGAAAATGGTTCACTCTATTTATAAATACTAAAATTCCCAGGGCGTTTTGCTCTTTGTGCTTTCATGATTTTCTTTTTCTACTCCAGAACTTGGGCTGGAGCGATAGCACAACGGGTAGGGCATTTGCCTTGCACGCAGCTGACCTGGGTTCGATTCCTCCATCCCTCTCGGAGAGCAAGCTACCGAGGGTATCCTGCCTGCACTGCAGAGGCTGGCAAGCTCCCCGGCGTATTCATATGCCCCAAACAGTAACAAGTCTCACAATGGAGACGTTACTGGTGCCTGCTCAAGCAAATCGATGAACAATGGGAGGACAGTGCTCCTCCAGAACTTAAATTCTCAAAGGGAACTTTGACAGTTGCTGCCTTATAAATAAAGTAAGGAAGTATCAAAGCTGCAAGAGTTTTGAACTGCTAGGGAGTTTTTCCAGCATCCACATGGTATAAGAAAGTTAAATCAGTTGGCCCTATCACAGCAGCTTAAGAAAGTTTCTTTGCAACTCTTCTTTATGATTGAACAGTCAAGCAATTAGAAATAATTGAAACAATATCCAAAGGGGCTTTGTTTTTTCTCTTGTGATCTCACGAGTTTATTTCACTTACTCCTCTGAAGCAAACTTCAACTCACAGTTTCATTTTTGGATCAACAACAAAAACAACAAAATTTTTAAGTGCTTATCTATCTGGCACTGACTGTGCTACATTTTTTTGTCTTTTTGGGCCACACCTGGCGATGCACAGGGTTACTCCTGGCTCTGCACTCTGGAATCACTCCTGGTGGTGCTCGGGGCACCATATGGGATGCTGGGAATTGAACTCGGGTCAGCCACTTGCAAGACAAATGCCTACCCAAGACTGTGCTACATTTTTTTTTTGACTGTGCTACATTTTAAATGTATTGTTTTTCACTTAGAAACATGTATGAACAGATACAGTATTATCCACTTTTATAAACATAAACTTGCTTAGCCCCTGGCTTCTGGTTCCCACCATCCAGGGGATTTACTTAATTCCCATGTGTCAGACTCATGTATTTATAATTAAATAACCAACTGGAGACAAGGCCATCAAAGAAAGGCAACAAACAGTAAAACAACAGAACGGGAAACCAGGAGCTGTTAGAACACCAGAACAGGGTTGGAATTCTGGAGTTCCCACCAACTGCTTGTGTGATTATTCTGACTTGCCCTTCGGTTCCAGATCCATTTCATAAAATAGTAAAGTAAGTAAAGGCCCTCCCGTTGATCATCGATTTGCTCGAGAGGGCCCAGTAACGGCTCCATTGGAGACTTCGTTGTTACTGTGTTTGGCATATCGAATATCGAATACGTCAC